CCTCTGCCGCGGTCAAGTCTTGAAAGGGTCTCGCGGTCCGTCCTACAAGCTTCAGCCACAAGTTCTTCAGCCAATAGCGTTCAAGTCAAGACTTTTGCTCTTTATTCTGCACAACCCTTTCTGGATTTGTGTAGGTGCAGAACTGTGTGAGTGGGTTTTTATTAACGCCGGGCGAGAAAAAGCCCGAAAATCTGGAAAGCCACTAAAGTGCTTCTTCTAAGAGGAAGGAAAAAAAAAACTTGTTCTGGCCCCCATCACCAAAACTCCACAACGACAAGACACAGTTTGTGGTGAAATTGTGGAAAAAGGTGCGCACAGTATGAATGACGAGTAAAAAAAGAGCGCAGAAGTTCTTGGAGAGAGTGACGAAGAAGCCTTGGCTTAGTGGTTCGGCCAATTGTACAGGCAATACTTGCAGAACTAAGACCAAGATGACGAATGCAAGATGATTGCCTATGATTCGCCGTGTGCCTCTGAAGAGAGCGGTTGAGAAGCGGTAGTTATGCCCTCATCCTGACTTGATCTGAGAGGCCTACAGTACAGTACAAGACGCGGGTCAAATTGCCTGTTCTTACTGTGACGTGGTCAAGCCTTCAATGTTTGATGTTTCTTGTGAATCCCTCCATCACAAAGCTGACAGGCAGGCCCCCGTCAATAGATGCCCAGATTTATTGGCATGATCGACAATTAATTAGAACCAAAGGAATGTTTGGCAGTTTCCTCCACAAACACGAAGAATAAATGAAACAAGCTTATCGGCTTCCCGCTGCGTGCCGTCTGTGGCATTGACTGCTCAATGCTTGGCAATCACGATCTTTACCAGGTCCAATTCCAAGTACTCATCGGCGAAATTGCCTTGGAGAATGGTACTTTTGACAAGTCCTGGATTGCGCTGTTGGTTGGATGAGTTTTCATCTGATCCACCGTCCGAGAACCTGAGGCATTTGGCATTTCTTGGTGCTGTTGTGTAGCGCGACCATTTTGGACGGTGCCTGCATCCGTACAGTATCACAATCACAGTGTTGGCATTGAGTTGTCAGGCAGACATTTTCCAATATCAGGCATACAAATTGAGAGCCTCGATCGTGGCGCGAAGCATGCTTGCACGCATCGTGGGCCGACAGAGTTTTCGCTCCGTTTTCTACTCCGTCTAGTCCATCGTCCGTCTACCTACCCTACCTTAGTTATTCACCTGTAGTCTGAGAAAACGGAGCGCGCGAACAAACTGCGTTGCTACATTAATCCACTCACACTATATTCGAGATTCCAGAGGTACAATGGCACGACTCAAAGGAGTCATGCGATCGATCGACTGTGACTATGGGGGTAGAGAAAGCAAGGCACCCGGCAATTGATAGAGGTTCCCGTTCCTGTTCCTGAGGCTCATACAACACTCGAATGCACTGACATGGGTTGCTCAGGCACAAGAACAAGGGGGGCAGGGAGGGTCAGGCACAGCGTGGCATCGTGCCAGGCACAAAACCAGTCAGAGTCCATCCCCCGACACCTCAAACCTTTGAGTGTGTGCATCTGCCGCCGTGTCGGGTCCCTGACTAACGCACCGTGCCTAAAACTTGATCCACTGAGACATTTTCCGGAACGCTACCAGAAGACACCCGGCCACTGGCTGCCCTTGGGTCTGCCACACTTGTTCTCTGTCGGCAACGTGCCGGGCGGAGACAACTAAAAACTTGACTTCTCTCGAGAGAATGGAAAACAACACCGTCTCTTGACTAGTGAACTTGCCCCCATGTTCTCACCTCGCGAATCATGCCTCCTGTTTGTTTCCTCTCGCTGACTCTGACTCTGGGGACCTGATGGGTCTGATGCTTGCACCCGAGTTCCACTCCTCCATAAACTTCAACTCCAGATGTCACTTTTTTGCTCGGCCACGTCTAAGCTGTTTCGCCTCGATGCATGTACACGCAGCCCTTTGTCTCCTAGACACATGCACACACCCTCGTTAGCCTCTCCCTTGCAAAAATGAAATGTTTGATTCCCCGAGATCTCAGGATGTACCTCCGGTTGACAGGACGTTGTGGAGAGCCGTCTCATACTCAATCTCATGTATATAAACTCCCATCTCATCCACCTCTAATGCAAGATCTTTCCTTTGATTCAACACACACTCTCTTGTGAGATTCCTTCTTTTTTTCCAAAATCTTCTTACATTCACTCGGCTAGCCGTCGCTCCAGACCTTGATCTGAGATCAGTCCTTACAAACACTCAACTTGCCCACTCATTCTCTCTCTCCGCCGTGCGTTGAGATATAAACACAAAGTCGAGCCAGTCTCCGGAATAACAACACAATCCAAAGTATATAAAAAGTTCAAGACTTTTTCTTTACAACACAGTCAATATGTTCTCCAAGTTCACCACCATCCTCGCTGCCGCTTCTGCTGCCCTGGTCTCTGCCGGCCCTCTCCCCCGTGGTGACTCCGGCTCTGCCAGCATCACTCCCCACGACCAGTACTCCAGCAGCATTGGAGTTCTCGGCTGCAAGATCAACACCAACCGCGTCGCCTACTGGCCCGGTTCCGTTGACTGCAACAACATCTGCGTCAAGGTCTCCAACGAGGGCCGCTCCGTCTATCTCCTCAAGATCGACTCCTCCGGCGGTGCTCACGACATCTCCTACGATGCCTGGAACTACCTTGGCTTCGGCGAGTCTGCCACCAAGGACCCCCAGCAGGGCGGTGGCATCGCCATGAACTACGAGTACGTCCACGCCTCCAAGTGCAAGGACATCCTCGACAACGGCAAGCTTCCCCTCGCAGCCGCCAACTCCATGAACTACGTCGCCTCTTGCCTCAGCGAGCCCAAGAGCTGGGTCGCCCAGAACTACGAGCTCTACAACATCAACGACCCCGTCTGCAAGCATGGTGTCAACGAGAAGTGCCACCTCAACCTTGCCGTCAGCAACCAGCCCGAGTGCCCCAGCGGTCTTGGCGCCGTCAAGGACCTCAACCTCAAGGTCGAGAACATCCTCTACGGCTCTGGCAAGAAGGTCGCTGCCCAGTAGATGACCCGGCGCATGTCTTATGTCTTACATGCTATGATGATCACAAATAGAAAATCGCCGCCCTAGCAGATAGATGCAGGGGGCGTATCACTCGCTACGAATGATATGAAACTTTTTGGGAATGATACACAGGATACAGGAAGGAAAAAAGATATGTTTTTGGTTTACATTCACTTCTCATGTACATACTTGATGAAATGTCAATACATTACCATCTACATCACTTCACTCGCGCCAATTCATTTGTGTGACCATATAAAAATGACAGCCTCAGCGCTTAACAGTACTGAGACATTATCCCTTCGACTGGCCTCAAATTGATTTAACTTGCAGTAATTGCTTTTTCATGTGTCACTTTTCAATTTATCACAATGCCTCTTATGTCACAGCACTTAAAGTCAAGTGGCTGAATCGGTATTTACACAGATCTATGACAAAGTGTGAGATAGGGCTCGAAGTAATTTTCTCAACCGCATGTCGTGGCTTATTGACATCTATTTGTTTCCCCAACTGATACTCACAAACATTGTGAATAACTCAATCGCGACCAGAAACCATCATCTTGTACCATTTGGAGGCCTTGCAATGACCCCTTGGCGTGATGTGGCTTACACCCTCGGTCTCCCAGCCCCCTCAAACTCAGCCCTTGCTTTAAGCTCCCCTGATGAGGCATTTCCACAGCCCTGCAAGCTCTAGCTCATGTGCAGTCAGCATCTTATCCTTGTAACTCTTTTCTTCTTTCTCTTGGATACTGTACAGTATGAACATGAGCTGTTCCTCCAAGGCACAGCATTGACCAGTGGGGATAAGCAAGCCACGTGCAAAAGGATCACCAAGGCACAGTCGGACCGGCAGGGCTATCCTTCAAGTCAGGCTTCTTTCCCAGAGATCGACATTATATGCTTCGCTGTCTCTGCATATTCTTGCACTTTCAATGATACTTCAGCCAGACGGTCCTCTTATTAAACTTAATGAACAATCACACCGCTCCAGCGCTTCGGCAGTTTGCTGTGTGTTCAGGGGTGCATCCGGGAGGTAGCGCCAGCCCTATCAGCTTCAGCTATCTACATGTTTGCTTGCGCACTCATGAAACAGGGGAAACGGAACAAAGAAAAACTATCAGTTCATCCCCTTATTTTCATGGAGTGACAGCTCTGAGTTTCTGCGACGGCGGTTAGGCCTTAGAACTGTAACGCTGGACCTGCATTAGGGCTGAGATGGCCTTGTTTCATCCCTTCTTTGATGACAGGCAGTTTCGTGCGAGGGAGTGAAGTGTTTGTTGCTGATGAGGGGTGGTCTCGTGAACTTCCGTGTTGTTTGCCTGAGGGCATCGTAGTAAACGGCGGGGAGACCGTTAGATGCTTGGTAAACGGTGGTGGTCTTGGCATGAGTTTAGACATCTGCCCTCTGTTGCTGACTTACCCTAAAGCTGTATATTTCCAAGAGTCAGAATGTTCATCTGTGTCAATTACACAGTTTCGTGCCATCAGTGACTTTACAGGTATTGACAAGTTAATTCTGCTGTATTTCTTTCTTGTTATCCTTCGGGCTTGGTTGTGTGTTGCATTTTTGCTTCTAAAGTCGCGTGACATGTTCGAATAGCTTTAACTTCTACCTCGAGACCCAACTCAACCTTTACTTTCGCTCCTAAGTTTACTGACCATGACCAGAAATCACAGCTTGGAAAGTCAAAGACGTCATAACTCGACTGAATCAACTTGGAATGACATACTGCTTCTATATATAGCGGAATTCCCCTACCCGACAGCACAGCTGGAAGAGTTCACATGAGAAGCGGATGATTATCCGCATGTTTCGGTTACTGACTCAGAATCATTGGTGGATTGGAAATGCTGACAGAGACACCCGTCAACGGCGCCCCACTCGCCGGCCTCGGCCGCTTTCGCCGAGGTTCTCTAGAGGCATGTCCCGTGCAAGTCCCGTCCTCACGACCGAAGCAATATTGTAAGCATATGGACATTAGACAAGCATTTATTGAGAATTATTTCTCTTATTATTTTGCGGAGATAACCTGATGTCATTGCGTTTATGAAGACATAATCGCAGAACTATCACTGATACAATCAGGGTCCAATCCCGCGGCGACTTTGTCATGAGCGCGCGCGATGGAAATGTCGTAGAAACCGATGACTAATGAGACCAACCCCATTTTGTACCCTTGAATTCAAGCAACCCCACCATTCTATCAAGTCATGGTTCCGCAAACTATCGCCATACACAGAATTACACTACTCAATCAATTGCTTCAACACAACAGGCTACACACGACCACTCTGTATACCCAATTACCTCTCACCGGCTCTCTGTAACCACGACTTGAACTCCCACCGATCGATGCGCATTTAGCGAACCGCTCCGTCCGAGTTTGCGACACTTGAAACCGAATCCCCCAAAACCCGATCGCGGCGCTGTCCTTGCCCGCCTCAAGCCAGAACATGCCGTCTGATACCATGACAGGCTCACCGGCGGGCTCCAGCTCAGCTCTGCCATCCTTCTACTCTCCCAAGACAGAGGCAGCTGATGCTTCTACCTCGCACAACGAACAATCCCTTGAGCAATCTATAGACTCATTATCACTCTCCCCCGCTCCCTCCACTCCCGCCTCCGCTTCCGTCTCCGCCCACCCCGATCCCGAGACGCCGATCGGCCAAGAACCTCCGCCTTCACTGCTCTCGCCATCATTCACACCTCCCTCTACGCCCGGTACTTCGACACCGTCGACTGCCGGTCTTCGCGGTGTTCCTGTCGATAGCTCCATTCCTTCCGGAGGATGCGGATCCAAGAAACCCAAGCTCCTCCAGACTCTCCCGGAGGTTGAGTGCATTGTTCGTGCCCGTATTCCCACGGTAGCGGGCACAGAGATGTTTTTGCACTTGTACACCAATAATGTGGATAACAAGGAACATCTCGCTATTGTATTTGGCAACAATATCCGAAGTAAGAGTCTAGATGCTGTTCGAGAGGGCGAAACCGAGATGGACCGCATGGTGCGCGGCGCATACACAGGCAGACTGTTCCCCGGTCGCACAACCAGTGGTATCGAATCAGCAGCGCCTCAAGAGCAACAGCCACCGCAGCCGTCAGACCAGCCTCCCCTGGTGAGAATTCACTCCGAGTGCTACACAGGTGAGACAGCATGGTCAGCGCGATGCGACTGCGGCGAGCAGCTCGACGAAGCAGCTCGTCTGATGAGTCTGCCTGGTAACAAGGCTGGTGGCATTATTATTTACCTACGACAAGAAGGTCGTGGAATTGGTCTTGGCGAGAAGCTCAAGGCGTATAATCTTCAGGATTTGGGATCTGATACTGTTGAAGCGAATTTGTTGTTGAGACATCCTGCTGATGCTCGAAGCTATGGTTTGGCTACGGCTATGTTGCTTGATCTTGGACAGCCTGAGGTTCGATTGTTGACCAACAATCCTGATAAGATTCGCGCGGTTGAGGGCCCTAATAGGGAGGTTGTGGTTAGGGAGCGCGTTGCTATGGTTCCTCTGTCCTGGAAAGGTCGGGGAGGGTTCAGGAGTCAAGAGGTGGAGGGCTATCTCAAGACCAAGGTATGTTGCAACTACTAAATCACGTCTTCATTTGTGGACTATCGACTAACATTGAATGATAGATCGAGAAGATGGGTCACATGCTCGATATGGCAGCACTCCCACAGTAGACTATCAAGACTTAACGAAATATACCAAAATACCGATGAAGTTGGAAAGCTGTCGTTTGGTGGGGGTTTAAATTATATTTGTCGTTATCATGTCAATGGAGTTTATCGTCGTTCTCTGGGATTGATTGACGGCGTTGGAGGTAGGAGCTTGATGTATATGTAGACAAAACCACACACAACCAATATTTTCCGGAGCTGTGCTTTGCATCACGACTTGCGACCACTGGTGCTTTGGTGGTGTATAGGCTTAGGGTACCAGAAACTAGTTATATCACGAGGTCGTTAGCATTATCATGAGACTTTTCTTGATTGTTAACGCTGAGCGTGTCTCCAAGGGCGGAATATTGTCACCGTGCTAGCTTGGCAGAAACAAGCCTTCTGTATATTGATGATCTAATTTCGATGGTGTTGAATCGATGTTGGAGTTCCATCTTGATCCACCCCCCTTGACATGACATTTGGAAGACAGTTAAGTCGATAGAAAGTAGATTCTCAAGCTACACAATTAGGTTCCTGACAATTGGTTTAATGACATAACTTTTGACCTTATTTAATGATTTGTGCACTTTCATTTCCAAAATGGCCGATCCTAAACGGTTGTCGTTGATGGTGGGTCAGGCCCTGCCGTTCAAGGTGCTGCCGTGACGATTTTATGGGCCTAGCTCTTTTACTGCCGGCGCGTGTCAAGCTTCTCAAAATCGCATCTTCAACTTCTTTTCGCGCCGATTTTCGCATTTCAACCACACATTAGTTGTTTCTTTTTTCTTTCCACTTAAATATAATCATGATATCATAGGACATAAAATAAAACTGCCATAATGTCCACGACGATTCGTTTGCGGCTCGTCATCCGCAGACATGCAGTCCCTGAGGTCAAGCTCGTCTGGCCCTGCGTCGCAAACGACGATTTGACTGTGGCTAGGTTCCTAGCGCTGGTCAACGAGGTAGTACCGCTTGAGAGTGGAGATTGGGGTCTTGAGGACTACGTTGTCGAGCTGTATGATGGCAAGGGCGATAGTTTCGAGCTGCTACATTTTCAGCCCGTCGGCAAAGTTTTGAAGGAGGATGACCAAGTTTTGTACGACCTGCAGCTTTCCCCTGATACTTTCGCACGCTAAGAGTTTCACAGAATAAGATCACTTTCTACCGACGATTTAAGACGAAGAAGACTCAGCGGCCGACACCAAATATCCTACGATGGAAAGCATCTTATCGATGGACTTGCTTTTGGAAGGCCGTGGTTAAGGGCGCCACGCGATCGTCCGGCACTTGACCTGCCCCCTCGAAAGCGAGCACGTATTACACACGACGAAGAGCTCGACGAAGATGACGACGGTTCATATGCGGACGAAGAAGACCAATCAGAGCAGCTTTTGCTTGAAGACTCCGTACCCCCTGAAATGGAAGAACCCGGCAGCGTTCGTTTAAGAGCAAGATTCGTGGACAGCGATCAACTCGAAGAAGAGGACGAGGATGCAGACTTTGACGACGAAAACTATATCCAACCTACAGAAGAGGTTCACGCAGAGCCTGTGGTCGACGACGAGGATGAGGACGTCGCTGGAAGTAGCGATGAGGAGGACTTGGATGCGGATCTCTCTGACGAGCTAAGACTTCTACAAGAAGACAATGCTATTGTTGAGCAAACGCCTGCGAAGGAACAAGAAACTCTTCTTTCGGGGGACAGCAGCCAAGATCCACAAGCACTTCTGCCTATACATGGATTTGACGTTTCGTGGCTCGACAAGATCACTGCACTGCGAGCTGCATTTCCGCTGACACCAGTGTCTACGCTGCAAGATGAAATGAACCGAAATAAAGATCTGCGACAAACATACGAAAACCTGTCCAGAACCAACAAGCCAGTGATCAGTTACGATGAAGCGCTTGAACGAGTTCTTCTAGGCCCCGGGTTCTCAGATGCGCCGTCACTCGACCAGCCTAGCGAGGATGAAGAAGACCCAGAAGATCGAGTACTACTCCTCCCTGGTCAAGCGGAGACTAAGGACGCAACACGGCCATTGATCCAAGAGGTGGAAGATGAGCCAGCGCCGCCGAGTACGTCCAGCAGGTTACAGAACGAGACACCGAGACCTCTAATCAGCGAGGTCCCCGAGGCAGAGGATGTTGCATCGAGCTCCAGCAGTAGTTCGGATTCTGACTCCGAATCCGACTCTGACTCTGATGTGGATATGGAGGAGAAATCGGATTCAGATTCGGATAGTGATTCCGATGATTCGGACGACGATTCAAGTGATGGCTCCGATGTCCCGGCCTTGACGCCTTCACGGCCAGTCAACATCACCCAAGACTCTGAAGACTCCGACTTGAGTGACTCTGATTCGGATTCAGACTCTAGTTCCGATTCGAGCAAGGCTGCTGGGGCTACCAAAGACTCCGCTGAAAGTGACTCGAATGACAGCAGCGACAGTTCAAGCGACTCAGGCTCCAGCTCGAGTGAATCCGATTCGGAATCGGAGCCCGAGGAGATTTCCTCGAAAAAGCAGCCTCAAACGAAGCAACTGCAAGCTTCAGCAAACACTGAGCCCAAGACTAATGGCCAAACTGTCAAAGCAGCCCTAGAACCCGCCCAAGGGCCGAAGCCGCCCGGAACTGGGCTGGCGAAGACGCAGAAGAGAAATGCCCGGAAACGAGACGCCAAGAGACTCAGGGCGATGCAGGCCTTAGAGGATACGCAATCTCAGGCATCTGTCAATGGGACTGCAAGCGAGGAAGCTGAGCTCATGGCTCGAAAGCGGGCGCTTCTGAGTGCCGTCAGTGATGAGCAAGAGGATGACCCAAGCCCACCCAAGGACGCGCTAACCAAGGAGCCCAGACCCATGATAGTCGAAGTTGAGGAAGCACCAGCCGTCACGACGAGCCAAGATGTAGCTCCGACTGAAGAAGCACCTGCCCCGACTCAACGCCGTCACAAAGTTGACATGGGAGCTGGCCGCCGACTTCTCCTTGGTGCTCTGGGACTGAAGAATCCAAGGACCAAGGCGGATGAAGACAAGCTTCGCGACAGTTTGATGAAGAATGTGAAGCCTCTGCGAAATCCTCGAGTTCAGGCTGAAGAAGCCAAGGCCAACGATGACAAACCAGCGGAAGAGCAACCGGACGAGGACCCTGAAGCATGGCGAAAGAAGATCTCGTACAGGGCTGTCGAATGCTGTCATGATGACATTGTTTTGAGTGAGCCGCCATTCCCATTTGTGCAAAGATGGGACCCCCAGCAACAATATGGATCAATGAGGAAGCGAAAGAGAGCATCACAAAATTTCAACGACGAGAGCTGCTACGAAGAGGATTCTCAACAATGGAATGGTGATGAAGAGTGGAACGACAACAGTCAAAGGAAGAAGAAGAAAAAGAATAAGAAGCGAAAAAACAAGGGCGGCTTTGATGGAGAATACGACGAAGAGGAGTCACACGAGGGTTCTTTTGGTGGCACAGGAGCCAACGGTGATGAAGATATTGTGCTGAATTATGATGACATCCCAACCAAGCATCGCCCCGAAGAGAGTCAGTTTACAGACACAGATGATCTCCCTTCGCTGCCCTCAGATATCAGTACGCTCCCCAGTCTTGCGCTGTCCGACATGAAGCCAGGTATGGTTGCCACCTGGAAGCAGTTACTCATGTCCAAGGCGACCAACTGGCAACCTGAAATGGTATCCATGACCGGGCTTATCCTTTCGATCAGTGAGGACAACTGCATGCATGTCCTTCTAGCGAAGAGGGACAGAGAGGGAAACGATAAAGAATACGACGAATACACAGGCCAACGGATCTATGCAAAATTCGAAGCACCAGATCTTGACGAAGACGAAGAGGACGACGGTCGGAGAGATATTCTCTGGGCAGAAATGTCCGACCCGAGGCTGGTCCAGCCAGCACCGCCATCCGCTATGCTGGAGACCTCTGCTAAGAGCATAAAGCTTCAGGCCGAACAGAACAAACCCGTACAGAATGAAAATTCCACGACGGACAACAAGGTTAGCACGAGAACAGATCCCGATGAGACTATGGCTGAGGAGTTAGATACGCAGAAAGTGAGAGCCGAGGTGGAGGCCGATTTGAAGGAACAGGAAACTGAAGGGAAGCCCTCAGGAACCGACAAGTCAACCTCGATCCCTTCTGGCCAACAGCCGCCACGGCTTGAGTTTACGGCTTCCAGAGATGACAGTCCGATCAGCAGTTTTGTTCAGACTGCTGGGTTGTGGAGTAATTTTGACAGTCCTATCCACCAACTACAGGAGTCTATGCAAGCATCCACGTCCCAGTTGCAATCTCTTTTGTCGCGTGATTCAGATAAGGGTAAAAAAGATAATGGGGAGGAAGAGAAACCAGATATTGATGAGTCGGATGGAGCGAAAGATGCAAGGGATTCTGAAGGAGAGCCGGTACCGACAGTCGAAGGTAGCTGGGACGCAGTTATTCCTGATACTATACCCTCACCAGGCCTGCCACCACTGCCGACAAAGGATAACGCACTTATTGACCACCGTCTGCTGGTGGTACCCTCATCTGCGGGTAGCGTTCGCAGTGGGCGGCAACCCCCATCAGTCAGCGGTCTTGAAGACCTGCCAGAGGAACGAGTTGAAGATTCAGTCGAGGCGGGTATAGTTGATGGTCCTCACAGGAGAACCATGAGCCCTCAAGTGACGAACGAGTCCCGCCCAAGAAGCAGCAGTCCATTTCCCTCACTGGAGGAAATCTTTCATACAGCAAGGCAGACACAAAGTCCTCTGAAGTTCAGTCAGATGTCAGTGCCCCGGTTCATAAAGCCCGAAAAGAAAGATGGGGGTTATGAAGAGGCGATGAGGAAGTTGGACGAAGGCGAGGAGTCTGATCGTTCACCTGATTGCAACAAATCTTTACGGAGTTTGTTCCCAAATGCGACACAGCCGGAATCTCAAAAGATAGTCCCTTAATACGATCGTTCAAGAGCCAGGGATCCAAGACTGAAGACCCAGAGCCTAAGCATGTCGCGACACCACCGACATCTCAGAAAGTGAAGCAAGAATCACAGTTCATCATCCCAGAGGGCAGCCAGGTTATCGAACTGAGCTCTAGTCCACCATCAGTGCAGTATACCGAGGACTACGCCCAAGACAGCGAGGATGAGACTTATCAGGATTCTCCATTGCCACAGGATTCAGGTTGGGTGCAGAAGAAACACAGTGAAGTCAATACGCGAAGTCGAGGGAAGAGTCTACCCGCGACGGATGCCAAGAAGACAACAACTGTACAAAGCCGAACTACACATGGACAGACATCCGCTCCTCTGGCTCGGGAGGTGTTGACGAGTGCTTACAGTTAGATCAAGGGTCGTAGGAAGACAACACGGAAGTTCTGACAGACACAGGACGGTACCAAGTTATAGAAGTACTGGAACGGATGAGACAGAGTCTTTTGCATCAAAGCTGCTCCACCTAGCTTGTGCGGTGGGGATACGAAAAGGATTGGTAAGGGGGGAAATCTGTATCTAAGCATTCTGTATTTTAGGGAACATGGCGTTGGGGAAGCATAGCGTGTCAGCCCAGTGTATGGCTCAAGACAAAGGATGAAAATGGTTAAAAACTGCACCTTGATAGAACTAGCACAAAGAAACAAGAATCAAGAACTTGAAAAAAACCAAGAATCAAGAAACTCAAATCATTATTCTCCGTCTTAATGCCCAGCGTCTCATGTGAGGAACATCACGAACCCGTCTTTTAGCCCCAGTGCTTGTCTCAGCGCAGTCTTAGCTGCATCACGAGTAGCGCACCTCAGCCAACCAAGTCGTTTGAGCGGGCAGATGATGCAGCGAAACAACCCACCATCTTTTCGTATCTTGCCTGAAATTCACCAGTTAAGCCTAATTTTTGTCTCTGTTCTAGTGTCTCATGAGCACTTTTTATTCAGAAGCTGTTGGCTATTGTCGCGTGGTTTGAATGTTCGTCATGAGGCGGATTCTTGGGGGAAATAAGTATATTGTTCGGGGGATGGAACGTGAGGTTTGCCGGTCCTTTTCTAACTTGTTCTGCTTTGTGAATTGTAACTATTACTGTTGTGTTCGTTGGAGAACTGTGAACCGTTTGGTTAAGACGGGTATATAACGACGAGATCAACCTGTTGAGACGAGCATCTACCACTTTGACCCAGAAATCAAGCTACTTATACGAAATATCTTGGATATACAAGCACATCAACTCCAAAGCCAATACCGCAATTATGTTGCCTCTCAACTACTTGTTCACCCTTCTCGCTATGTTGAGTATGGGCTTCTGTCTACCTACACAGACCCCAGAACCTCAACCTGCACCTACACTCTCACCCGGTCTCCCAGACACTACAGGTCTTCCAGATCTTCCAGGCGGTTCATTCTTCGAAGAGAGACAAGAAAGAAATAACGCCAACCCATCTGTCTTCAACCCTCCCGTCACAGCTGCCCCCGATCAAGCAGAACAACTGGCGAGCATGGGCTGGGCGCAGACAACCTACTACGAATGTAAGACGAGAGATGGAAAGGAGCGCTGTGGATGGCATATCCCCGTGTACAAGGCTGGCGCTGAGGGCCGACAAGCCGAGATTGTGCAGTGGAAGGTCGTTGTTGGAATCGCTTTGGGGTTGGCGATGTTGATATATGGAGGATTGTGGTGAAGAGCTGATTTGAAGATGCATTGGGTGGAGTTTGGAGTTTTGGATAGATATGTTGATACCCTCTTGCTGCTGGGCGGCATCTGATTTATTAGAAACATTCTGTATTTCTTTCGCATACCTTTTTTTGCAGCGATGCAAAAGTCGCGGTGTTATAAAATTCATGAGTCATGCATTCACGAACCATAGAAACAAGTAGTGAAAACCCGCGTAAACCAGAGACGTTGTTATTTTTTATTTTGGTCCGAAACCCGAAGAACACCATTGATTTCATGCTAGTGTAATCGAGGAAAGACGCTGATGAAAGCAATCCTCCTCACCGAGTCCAGAATAGCCCCCAGCGTCCGCCCAGCAAGTCCCTGTACCCTATGCCGATGCCGACGCCGACGAGGATGGACCGTAAATGGACGCACCACCGCATGCACGCAGCCATAGCTGCTCCCCAACCAGCCCGAGGATATACACAAGCCCAAGCCAAGTCATCGAATCGTCTATTTCTCCTTCTTGGCCTTGGCACCCTTGACCTTTGCCGTACCACGGAGGGTCTTTTGTCGGTTCTTGCGCTGCTTGCCTGTAGTTGTCTGTCAGCCTGACTAAACCTTTTACTTCTGAAGATGATTGTAACGCACGCTGCTGTCGGGAGGCACGCTCGGCCTTGGTGGCGAGACCAACCCGCACCAATCGGTACTGGGGCTCGAACTTCTTCATGGCCTCGGGGGAGTCATAGACGAGAGCGAAGCCGGTGGTCTTGCCGCCACCGTACTGGGTTCGGAGACCGAAGACGGAGATCTGGTCCTTCTGGGCCTTGTAGAGAGAACCGAGCTTCTCGCGGAGCTCCTCCTTGGAGATGTTGGCACGGTTGGGGTGGAGGATGTCACTATTAAACGCAATCGCCGGTCAGCCCAAGAGTTCCCAAGCACAGTGATATGTCCCTATGCCGTGTCCCATCGTATCCCATCATCGATGCTTTATGCCCGCCTGTCCCAATTTCTGAACGGTATTCGATAAATTCGTATGTGGCGTTTAATCGTGCAGAACAGCGATATATCGAGCGGGAAAAAAGGCAGGCGAGATCAAGCATCGACTCAGGTAATGGTATCGACGAAGCAGCAACCGCGCGGTGCGGGAGGAGCAATATAGAGACGTATCATCAAGATTCAAAGGGTGTCACTCACACGACCATCTGCTTGCGGCCCAGCAGAGGGTTGCGGATGAACTTGCGAGTTCGGAGGGTGACGGGGGAGTCGTTGTCCGCCATTTTTGCCGATTGTCGTGATGGTCTCTGGGGGTTAGTTGACGGTGGAGAGACTGGGCGTTGATGGGTGAGATCGTTCGGTTGATGAAGTTGTCACACTGAAAATCCAACTTTGGTCGCTTAATTTGGTCCAACCCTAATCTTCTTACGCTTGTGCGCGACTTGATGCCTTGATTCTGAGGCGCTAGCACACACAAGGGTTTTTCCGTAAAAATCACGTGTAAGACATCCCGGGCAATCTTCGGGTGAGGGAGCCTGGAAATAATCGGATATTACTAAATGCTTCGGCCTCTCAAGTTGGAGATGTCCAAGTTTCAACTCCAGTCTTTGGTGGAGATAGTGTCGTCAGGCCACTCTAAGTCCACAATTGAGTTTGTTGCTTGCGATGATTCCAGGATGTCTCTCACGTAGTTTATACGAAATATACGAAATCAACAATTGCAAACAACCGTTCCATTCGCCTCCAATATGTCGTCAAGTTCCCAACAGGTTGACCGGTTCTGTCATCTGTATCTCCAGCTACAGTCTGACTTGGACTACCCAGAACCTTCACTGTTGAAGACTTCTCAAGTTCAAGATACTTTTTATGAGAGGTTATTCGCAGATGGAGCAGTGAGATATGGACCTCCTCCACGGTTTCAGCTCCGGGTTCTGAAAGAGCTCATGTCTAGAATTGAAGCTAGCATTGATGATTGGGAAGAGTATGTAAGTCACCGTCACTGACATTACTCTGTTTACTTCTTCTCGTATCATTTGCTAACATACCCAGGGAGTCTCTGATGACTTGATGTCTGCGCTCTCGCTCTTTCTTGCAAATCCTTTACCTTCAGAAGCCACTTCTGCTCAGCAAAAGTCCTATGTCACATACCATCTCTCTGAGCTATGTGAAGACGGCTCAGAACCAAGCCCGCAGGCGCCTCGTATTACCCTTCTTGAGAATCAATCTCTCATCTCAGGCTCAGGGACCACTGGTCTACGCACGTGGGAAGCTGCCCTTCACTTGGGGTCATACCTTTGTCAGAATAGACACATTGTCAAAGGCAAGCGTGTCCTGGAGCTAGGAGCTGGCACAGGATATCTTTCCATTCTTTGCGCCAACTTTCTCGACTCTCAACATGTCATCGCATCTGATGGCTCTGACGATGTGATCAACAACCTACCTGATAACCTTTTCCTCAATGACCTTCAAGATTCCACTCAAGTAACTCCAATGGACATCAAATGGGGACATGCACTCATGGGCACCGAAGAGGAGAAATGGAATGGTGGACGCCCTATTGATGTCGTGCTAGGCGCCGACATTACTTACGACAAGAGCGTAATAAGAACCCTGATCGGGACTCTGCGTGAGGTATTTGACCTTCATCCACACGTGGAGGTTTTCATCTCAGCGACACAACGCAACGAGAAAACATTTCAAGCCTTCCTGGACCAGTGCCAAGCTAACGGACTCGCCGTAGAGGTGATACAATTCCCAATCCCAAAGCGGGAAGTTCAACAAGGTCCATTTTACAACGATAATGTCGCTATCCATATCTGCAAAGTTTCCAGAACGTAACCGGGCCCCTGGAATTCAGGACGACACTATACTCCATTCATGTCAATAGAGGGCGGGAGCTAGGATAGCGCAGTCTGTCAAAGGGATAACTCCTCTGCATTCCAACTGAGAAGTCGGCGTCAACCAGCGACATTCGGATGTCGTACCATGAATTACCTATACAGAATGCGGCATCTTGATAATTCGGGAGACCCGAAAGCACGAAAGTTGAACGACTCAACTGCCAAACTATTGTTACAGAAAACACATCACGGCTACACGGAAACTTGGTTATGAAGCGTCGTGCCACTGAGCTGATAATCGGCTCACGATAAGCGCTGTGGCCATGCAGTTCGTGGCTAGGTGCCGCTCGGCTGGCTGGATTTGTCATGGGATTTTTGACGTATCAGAGACTTGAGGACTCGGATGCAACGGGCATAGCAATTGCATGATCTCGATATGTCACTTGAGCTCGGATATGGGGAAAAGTCACACCACTGCGTGTCAACCATGATGATACCTCTGAACCTTGGCTCAAAGCATGGGCCCACGGTTAGCTGACCAGACGAATCTCTTCAATAGACTTCTATTTGTATTGAAGAAATGGTCAATTGCACATATTGAAGACATGGCAAACTCCCCAACAACTTTATTGCCCCCAGGTACAAACCTGCACTACAGGTTAGGCCAGGCTTTCGGGGCCCCTTGTTGCTCAATTAGAACGCCAGAATCAGCCTCCGAGACCCCTGAAGGCAATTTGGGTTTGAGTTGCGGGGAAAGGCGAAAAGGGTTGGCTCCAGAGGGCACGATCTAGAAGTTGTCGAGCCGGCGATCTGCCCGATGATTGGCTTTGCCCCGCGCTCGATGGCGACAGGTGCTTATTATTCTGTTGGTAGTTGGAATCCCGTCAGGTTGGTCAGGTGCCCCGGGGTGTAGCTCCCTTCCAGCCAAGAACGTGGCACCCTTGGGGATGAACGGACAAAGAGCCACGGGATCAGTGGCCTCAACTTGAAGACGATCTGGGTGTAGTAGGTTCGGGAGAGTGACGCTCTGAAGGCCGCGGGCTGGAATGTACGCTCAGGCACGACACTACTATTCAAACTGTCGATAGTCCGTCATTGCACTCACCTTCTTAGCGGGGTGTAGTGCTGAGAAGATTGTGTGAATGTTGAGAATGTCTTCAAATAGAATGAAGCATTAGATGGTACAAACTTTGCACTGTGCTCAATCAATTGGTGATCAACCTCTTGAGGCCGTCTGTTGAAGGAGCTCCGTGTTGAAGATGACGATGGAGGAGATAAGTTGTCTCGAAAAGCAGGCTGACACACAACCTCTATTCCCAGATACTACGTCGATGTACGCCGTAGGCGTACAAAGTGTAACACAATCCAAACAGAAGCTTTTGCCCATCGTCACTTGACCTGCTAGAGTGTTGATACCACTTGCGTAATGGGCATATCATAAATAAAGAGACTTTCCTAGTCGTGAATGACACACACTGATGATTACCCTAGACAGAAAGTGTAGTTTGCCGAGAAACACTTGCATCGTGGAACGAATCAAAGGTGACGAATTGGCAGTCAACGTTTCTGCTATATGCAAAGTCGATCCGATCAGACATACAGTACGTGAGAAAGCTTCTCGTCGGAAGTTTTGTCTTTTTTTCCGGTGATTGACATGAACTAGCAGATCAGGTGAAAGCTAGTTCAAGCATGAGCTCTGAGCCACAAATGTGATCAACGAGAGCTATCGGCATGTTTCGTGTTGATTACGATGGATTCCCCAGAAAAAACCTTCCTTCTCGCGGACTTTATGAGGTGATGTTAGTGTTTGAAACGTCATGTGTCTTTTCCCACCAACCGTCGGCAATCGGCTATGCAAGCAAGTCGATCACGATGAGAGAGAGCAACGCCCCTGAAAATCAACTGATGATCCATGTTGCATCAATTCAGTTGAGTTGTGAATCAAGGAAAGAATATGCTTAGAATATGTATGTTTTTTCGTCTCATCTTAAAACTTATCGGAAGCTGGGATAAGCTCCCTTGTTTATTTCGGGAAGAGCTCTAATCTTGCAGGGGCTTATCCTGGACCTTCAATTTACTCTGCAGCCGGGGACAGCACCTCAATCGCTATCGTGAGGGATACAAGGGGGGTCAAGCAAGAGCCCACAACTTTTTCAAGGACGGGGAATTGGGGATTACGCGTTGTACTGTTCTGTGACAGTTTCTTTCTCCATAGCTGTATCAAGTTCGCAAGCAGCTGAACAATTCGTCACGATGGACCTTTTCGCAACACCAAATCACCCCACGATATCTCGTTATCAACCCACAAAAAACTCCCGCCTGTAGCCGTTTTTAACTGTTTACAGTTTGAATGAGGGGGAGGGTTGCAGCCCAGGAAACAGGGCATCCATCCACTGAATTGGAGTGCCTTATCACCCAAGCCCTCCATGTGTAAATTGCCTATCTAGAGTACGTGCGGATATCGAAACATTTCACCATCCATCGTGACCTCTTCTTGCATTGCCGGTTTTTGACTACTGCAACGTTCTTTTTATCAGGCAATTACTTGTTTTCACCGGCTGCAGAATATTCTGCACGTGGGGTCAGGCGGTGACCCCAGGGAAAGGATCTCTTAAGCCCATAGCTGCAGAGATTGTAAAGGACCTGGAGAAAGAGAATCCACTGTTTTTGCCTGAATGCCAGGAATTAAAGGGCTCAACACCAATCGTCCATGGCACAGGCACAATTTACAGTCCCCGGCGCCACAAACTCCTCGGCACAAGAAATGGACGAGTTATTTCACATAAGAATTGCTCTTTGTAGAACACTATCAATGGCATGAGGATGTGAGGGGAATTGACAGCTTCGGTGTTGTACTTCATTGGAGGAGTATCATTGCCAAGCAATCAATATTCGTATAGTGTGCAGTAAGCAGGCAAGCACTGCATCGTGCTTCAATATCAGCCATATCTCTCGCTTAAACTCCGGACCGGGCTCAACCGGGGAAGCATAGTATCGTGAAAGAAGCATGGCACAGACGAACGTGTTTGCGTCTCCATGTCAATGGGGAATCAATCCACTTTCCACGTACGCTATGATATATCTACAGTAACATCAAGGAAGGAAAAGAGCTCTAGATCGAGTCTGAATCGGAAACTCATGAATAAGAAAAACCTCCCTGTCTCATGTCCTGGAACATCGGTTAGCTGCTAGTTGGTTGAAGGTATAAGCAACCAACCGTTTCTGGGAATAGCAAGACATGAAATGTCTCGATATCAACATCTGAAATCATGCTCATTGAGGTGGATGATGGCGCGAACCACACGGCGATTAACGTTGTCAACGACAACTCACCAAAGTAACACAACCCAAAGAACCCGGTGAGAACTTATCAGACCCTTCCATTCTGTTCAAGAGCTTCATAAACTGGGAATAGCACTGTGCCAACCTGAATACAGTGGAAGTTAGACAAGTCTAAAAAAAGGGCTTCACACCACCCGCCGCACACATCATAATCGCAGCCCATCCCGTCACATCGCCAGCGGATCCACAACCAAAGCTTGATGCCCAGGATCTTCTCTCAATCCCTGT